TTTTATTGAATTTGTGTTGGATCAATTATATAATGAGTTATTTTTGCGTTCATCTTCTAGGCATGTAGATTCACCAACCGATAGTATTTTGTTATTTCATATTTAATATATTTTAAAAATAAGTAAAAAAATATTGTCAAGTTATATTATATTTTTAAAATAAAAAGGAAAAATGCAAAAAATAGAAATTTAGTGTTTAGTGTTCGTAAGATTTAGTGTTTTAATTTAACATTTTAGATTTATCTGAGAATTTAGGGTTTACCCAAAGATTTAGGATATAGGATTTAGTGATTTTCTAATAGTGTTAAAATATTTTTTTATTGTAACTACTATTATTTTTATTTTTTTTTTGTCTTTTTATTTTAGAAATATAATATGAATTGATAATATTCTATTCTTTTCTATAAGATATTGAAAATGAAATAACAAAACACTATTGGTGGATGAGCTTATAGATGAACCTAGATGATGAAACCAAGAATAACTCTCATATAATTATAAGAAGATGATTATTTATGTATTAATATATCACTCGGTCAAAATTATATTAAACTTTTCTTTCATGTTTTACTGTATGATTTTAAATATATTATTAATATATGATTTATTTGATCACTTCAAATGAAATTGTATCTGATTTGAAGTTTTTGATTATTTTGTTATTTAAACCATAATTTCGACACGTGTTTTGTATATGCAGTAAAAGGTCAACACAATATACTGGGAAACTAGGTGTTTTGCCCGCACTTGCGGGCATAATCCTCTTATAAATATTTATTAGTTGATGTTTCATTAATTTAAAAATCAGCATAGTGTTATTATTTATGTTTTCAAAAAGTAAAAATCAAACATCAAATAATTATCAATGACAAAACTCAAACATCACAAATATTTAAAAGAATATATTTCTATAACTATTTTTCTTGATTTATATTTATTTATAATATCTATATCTTAATTTCAAATTTTATATTAGAAAAACATATTTTCAGGATAACAATATAATGCATATGTTCTTTATTTTCTGAAAATATAATATGATATTTTTAACTATATAATAATTATATAAGATTATAAAAATTATGACATATAATTAAAATTACCTAAAATCATTGAGAACTTAATGAATCAGCAAATTCACTTCTTAAATAATTTTTCTTGAGTGATGATTTATATTTAATTAATAATAGATAAGTTTTTCTATTTTACTTTTAAATTATATAATATAAAAAATATATTTTCAAGATAACAACATAATACATAAGAATTACCATATTCTCCAAAAGTATAATATTATTAGTGTAAATTTATTTCAATTATAGAATAACTACAACTTTTTATGTCTTAATTTTAAATCTATAATAGAAAAATATATTTTAAGACAGCAAACTAATAAATAAGAAGTATTTTATATTCTAAGAATCTGATACAAATATAAATTTGTTTTAAATATATAATAAATTATATAAATTGATAAATTATCAAAATTACCTAAAATCATGGAAAATATGACAAATCAGCAAACATCAAATTCACTTCTTAAATAATTTTTCTTGAGTGATGATTTATATTTAATTAATAATAGATAAGTTTTTCTATTTTACTTTTAAATTATATAATATAAAAATATATTTTCAAGATAACAACATAATACATAAGAATTACCATATTCTCCAAAAGTATAATATTATTAGTGTAAATTTATTTCAATTATAGAATAATTACAACTTTTTATATCTTAATTTTAAATTTATAATAGAAAAATATATTTTAAGACAGCAAACTAATAAATAAGAAATATTTTATATTCTAAGAATCTGATACTAATATAAATTTGTTTTAAATATATAATAAATTATATAAATTAATAAATTATCAAAATTACCTAAAATCATGGCAAATATGACAAATCAGCAAACATCAAATTCACTTCTTAAATAGTATTTATAGATTTTTTACATGTTAATTTTAAAGTTTATAATAGAAAAATACTTTTTTCAAGATAACAGCATAATACATTAGAATTAACTTATTTTCTAAAATATCCTATTATTAATATAAATTAGTTTTAATTATATAATCAATAAAAAAAATATAGAAATTCTGAGAAATGATCAAAATTACCTAGGATCAATGAGACAAATCAACAAATTCACTTTTCAAATAATTGTTTTGATGATTTATATTTAATTATGATTTATATTTAATTATTATTAATATACTTTTATCTTAATTTTAAGTTTTATATTACGAAAATATATTTTCAACATAACAACATAATCCATAATGATTATCTTATTTTATAAAAATATTAAATTATTATTATTAATTTTTTTTAATTATATTTAAATATTAAATTATTAATATAGATTCGTTTTAGATAAATATAGTAGTGTTTATATCTTAATTTAAAATTTAAGTTTTATGTATAAAAATATATTTCAAGATAACAACATAATTCACAAGAATTATCTTATTTACTAAAAATATAATATATTCATATAAATTCGTTTTATTTATAAATAAAATATATATAAATATTAAAAATATGATAAATAAACAAAATTACCTAAACTTATGGAGAACATGACAACTAAGCAAATTTACTTCTTAAATAATAGTATAGATATGACTGATTTAACTATTATTCACATGGAGAAGAAGAGTACATGTTATAGTTGTTTTTCATACTGAATAATTGGTTAATTTTTGCTTGATAATAATAAATGATTGTATTAAATCAATGGGAAAATCGCATAAAAAACCTTCAAGTTGGCACACTTTAAACCATGAGAGTATTTTACAAGCACTTTAAACATTCAAGTTGGCAAATTTAGCATATTAAACCTCCAATCTGGCTTACTTGTACATCAAGTTAAAAATGTGACCGGTACTGTTCAAAAACGATGACGTGTCGGTTTTTTTTTAAATATTTTACTAAAAAATAAATATAAAAATACTGAAAATATAAAAATTAATTAAAAAATCATTAAAAATTGAAAAAATCATAAAAAATTCAAAAAATTCAAAAAAAATCAGAAAATCATAAATATTAAAAAATCACAAAATAATTAAAATATTTTATTAATAAAATATTAAAAATAAGAAAACTTAAAAGAAATTATAAAAAATCCCAAAATAAGAATATTCAAAAAAATTTAAATAAAATAAAAATGATATTTAAATAAAATTAATATAAGAATAATAGATAAAATAAATATAAATTCAAGAATAAATAATTTTGTTTGTTTTATAAAAAATGATAAAACACTATATTTTAAAAAAAAAAAATCATTATCTTCAAATGATTCTCGTGAACCAAATCAAAGCAAACAAATTAAATTCCAAGTCATTTTGTTCTCATTTTGTTGCTTATTAGTCGAGGTTTTCTGGATTTTATAACTAGATTAATATAGGGTATTTTCATAACTGCTAAAAGATTTGGATTTTAACTTGTTTCCTTTGATTTGGTTCACAAGAATCATTTGATGGTATATATCATATACATTCAATTATACGATGACATATATATAATATATAATAGTGACACGAAAAACAAATAACAATATAATTAAAAAAAAAATTATGTAGGTGAAAGTCTAGGTGCTAAAAGACTTGGAATTTAATTTGTTGCTTTGATTTGGTTCACGAGAATCATTTGAAGATAATGATTCTTTTTTTAAAAAAATATAGTATTTTCTCGTTTTTTTATAAAACAAATAAGATTATTCCTTCTTGAATTTATATTTATTTTATCTATTATTCTTATATTAATTTTATTTAAATTTCATATTTATTTTATTTAAATATTTTTGAATTTTCTTATTTTGGGATTTTTATAATTTCTTTTAAGCTTTTCTTATTTTTAATATTTTATTAATAAAATATTTTAATTATTTTCTAATTTTTAATGTTTATGATTTTCTGATTTTTTTGATTTTTTATGATTTTTTCAATTTTTAATGAATTTGAAATGATTTTTTAATTAATTTTTTATATTTTCTGTATTTTTGTATTTATTTTTTAGTAAAATATTAAAAAAAAAAAAAAACCGACACGTTATCGCTTTTGAACAGTATCAATCACATTTTTAACTTGATGTACAAGTAAGCCAGATTGGAGGTTTAATATGCTAAATTTGCCAACTTGAGTGTTTAAACTTTAAAGTGATTGTAAAATACTCTTATGTTTTAAAGTGTAAGTGGTTGCTACCTTGGAGGTTTTTTATACGATTTTCCCTTAAATCAATAGTGATCTACTATGAATAAAATGGGCAAATAAAGCCAAATGAGCCTGTCCACGTGGACATAAATATTCACCCAATAAAAAGACTCTAAAATGCCACGTCAACCCACTTTGTGCCAGAGAAATCAAATAACCAATTGGTTTGTATATGCGAAATCGAGATGTGAATTCGGCCTGGTTTTTCTCGACAATCAAGCGTTTCACCTCTCTCTCACTCTCACATTTCATCTACAATCCATCTTCGATCTCCCTTCTCTCTCACTACTCTGAAAACTCATTTTTTTCGGTTTACAGTCATACGCTCCTCTCCCTCGCCACCGCCTCCGGTCTCCTCCGAGAAATCGATGAGATCCTCTCCACCGATGAGACTTCTGCCACTGTTCTTCCGCCGTCCATCATACCATGTACACCAGATTCGAGGCTCTCAACCGACGCCTCTTTCCCTCTAGGCTCTCAACCCGTCGGACCCTTCGCTCAGAGCTGTTACATTTGGATCCGAAGATTGTCGGTTTAGTGAAGTCGAGTGTTACGCTCGGCCTCGACGGAGTTACAATAACAGGCGGGAGACTCGCTGTTGTGATCGCCGGCGGCTGAGGAACAACCGGAGCTCCAGATTGAGCGGTATTAATAATCTGACTCTGTTCTATCTGAGGAGATGAGGTTGTTGAGTGATACGGTCCGCGTCTAAATATTCGATCTTGACGGTAACGGAGATCGAGGGAGGAGGCAGCAAAGGCGAGGCAGTTTTGGACTCCATGAATCTGAATCCTCAGATTTTCATCAATGGAACGCTCAACACCGTTGACAAAGCGTTTGATTTCTTTGCCAGGTAATTAATCTCTCTCAAATCGCATATTTATATGAAACGTCGATGAAAGACTTTTCTAATTGAGCGTTTGGGTCATTCATTACATTTGCAGTGAAACATCCAATACTCCCAAAATCATTGGAGGATCTGATAACAGGCCACGGGAGCTAGCAAAAGTGAGTTTAATAGATTTTGGTTTGTGTTCGTTTTAGGGTCATCGCTATTGATCAACTTGGGTAAGCTAGCAACTTACACTCTTTGTAGGTTCCAAAGGATTCATTGTGACTTTATAATATGGTGGTTCTCTCTTTTTTTTTGTTCTTCTAGGTGGGGTGGATCAAGTAAACCTGATTTTACGTGTAAAAGCACATAAGGTATAGTATCATTTGAATCTTTCTCAGTCTTGCTTTATATTATATATGGAGTTGCTTCACCTGTAATGAAGCTTTTTTGTGCCTGACTTTAACAATGCAGAATCAGAGGCATGGTTTATAGACTCATTTGAAGAATGGCGTAAATCCAAGAATCTCAGTAACTTTATTCTGTTAGGGCACTCTTTTGGTGGTATGTTGCTGCTAAATACGCTATTAAGGTGAATTTTCTACATCTGTGGTATAACTTTCAATGTATAAAAGGTGACAGTTTGTAACTTATATGGTTTATAACTTTTCAGCATCTTGAGCATGTTCAACACTTGGTTCTGGTGAGATCTACTGGATTCACTGCAGAATCGGATCCCAAGTCAGAATGGCTCACTAAGTTCAGAGCAACGTGGAAAGGTGCAGTCTTGAATCATTTATGGGAGTCTAACTTCACTCCTCAGAAGCTGGTTAGGTATGCTCTTATAATGTTTTCATGTTCACACCTATATAATGCTCTTATAATATTATTCTAAATATGTTTCTGGTGCAGAGGATCAGGTCCTTGGGGTCCAAGTCTTGTAAACCGGTATACAAGTGCAAGATTTGGTGCACATTCTGAGGGAACTGAGCTAACAGATGAGGAATCCAGATTGCTTACCGGTGAGTCCATGTCTCGCCTTTTGTTGTTGTTGCTGCTTCAGTCCATGGTTAAGGAATTAGTTTCATGGAAAGATAAACTAGAACAGCAGCTGGTGGGAATTTTAAACTTGCAGAACAGTCGGCAGGTCAATGGGAGCAATTCCTTCAGTCCAGATCCTCAAAGCTGGGAACATTTATTGCATGGTACCAACTTGGATGACTTTGCTGGGGACGGTTTCGAACCATGGGATGTTGATAAATACTTTACCGATGCTTTACCAGAGGCAGAGGCTGTCAGGACGGATATCTACTTGCTTCCACCAAAGGCTCGCAAAAGCTCTTTCCAGGACCACATGTGGTTAGAGGAGCAGTCAGTGCTCAACTCCGAAATGCAGAGGACAGAGAGGTTAGAGCGGTTACTTGGTGTTACTTGGTGTCTAGGTTCCAAGAGTAGGCGTTATGGCTTAATTTATGATTTGTATAATATTTTTGCTTCCTTATTTAGCTGCATGACCAGAGGTGATTCCAGAAGCTTCAATCAGGACAAAGCTGAGTTGACTCCAGGTTCTTCCATGACTGCAGGTCCAAGATCAGATATTGAGGACCCAAATATTATTTCTCAGGTAAATCATGTTATAGAATCATTGGTCAGTTTGATCATCTTTGAAAAATATTGTTGCCTTTGAGTAGATGTAACTTTGCCACCTTCCCATCATCTCATAGCTTTTGCTTTTGATTCACTGCCACACATTGCATCTCTTGATAGTTATTAATTTTGCAAGTGCTTCACATTACTATTACATGATTTTAAGGAGTCCATTTTCTTAAGAATCATCATGTATTTTATTTTGTTTCAGGAAACATTGAAAGAGTTGGTGAGTTGGAAAGCCAAAGCGGAGCAGCAGCTAATGGAAATGTCAGAGGCTGTGCGAGTAATCATGGGGTAAAGCTGGTGACTGAGAAGGATAGCCTTATAAAAGACCAAGAGTTTTTAGGAAAGGAGTCATCAAAGAGACGACCAGTGGGACAAGAACACATCCAACAACTTATGGATGTGGAGAAACAAGAAGATGAGAAAAAATCATGAGGCAGGAATGGAGATGCAAGCTAATATTAATGAAGAAAAAAATATCGAAGGAAGTGAGAAAGTTGCAGAAGTGCAGATGCAAGCTAAGACTGGCATCAGAATAAAAGACCAAGACACTAAAAGAGAACAACCATATGAGCTTCTAGAAGATGAAGAGCATGACAAGATTCCTAAACCGGTTGTTGAAGAAACAAAGTATCAAAGAGAAGAGGAAAAGAGAGTGGAGGATAGAGACGTTGAAGAGATGAAGAAAAAAATCTGAGAATGTTAGTTCAAGAAAAGTTCAAAAGATTAAAGCAGAAGATACAGATGGTTTAGAGAAACACATGGAACTAAGTGAGATCTAAGAAAATCAACCAATGCTGAAGAAGACAAAGTCTGTGGAAGATTCAAGCCAGTCTCAAGATGTTGAAGAAAGAAGATCAGATCAGACAGAACAAGAAAACATCCAAGAGCTAATGGCTGAGGAGGAAGAAGAAGAAGAGCAGAATGAGAAGGCAAAGAGAATGCCTCAGGTGGAGTCAAAAGATAATGATGATATCTCAAAGAAGAGTGAGACTGGAAGATTGAGAAAGCAAAAGCAAAAGGAAGATCATCAAAAAATGGTGGAAATAGAAGCAAGTGATAAGAGGAAAGAAAAAAGGGAAGAGAATATTGTTGGTAAAACAGTGACAAGAAATGAATGTGATACTCAAGGAAGAATCAACATTGTTTGTTGCTGTTTTCCGTTTGATTCATTCCAAGAGAAAATTAAAATGTTACAAGTTCTAACTTATAGCCAAAGCACAATATCATCTTATTATAATTTCGAGTTTTCAAAAGTACATTATCACTGATCACTAAAAAACATGTTAATAGTAATAAAAATGAAATGACAACCCATTTATTAAAATCATATAACTGCATGCAACGAGGTGTTATTAAATATACTAACTACAAATTAAATATGCTCGACGCAAACACACATAAAAAATGAGACATCATATTTGGATATATTTAAATAAATAATTTTAAATATATTATAGTCTTGATATTTTAAAGTTACTTAAAAAGAAACTAAATTATTAGAAATTAATATACAAATAAAACTAAAGCAATATTTTGTAACTTCAAAATAATAAATGCATAAAAATATATTATGTTAACAAAATATATTTTAGATTTTAAAGACCTGTAATTCATGTAATATTACAAAATTCAAAATTTGTGTATTACAATCAATATTTTACCATTAGATATATTAAAATAATATATTAGATCGATATTTAATTGTCAGTTTTCAATTATTACACGTAAAAAATATTATTAAGTACGTTTTTTTTCTTGAAAATGGGGTTTTATATTCTAAGTAGGTTATTGGTATACTTTTTCTTTACGTGAATTTATTCGGGACGAGATTCCAATCTTTTAAAATAAGATAATTTATGTTTTATACATAATTATATATTTTTAACATAACTCTAAAATCTCGAACTTGATTCTTCATATTTTATTAGTTAATTGTGTTACATATAATAGAAACATATTTGACAATAGTATAAATTTCATGATATATTGAAGATACTTATATAACTAAATTATCCATTACCACTAACGAATTATATTCAAATACTTACTTCAATATAGAAATATAAAAAAAAAATTTAAAAATTAGCTAAATATGATTTATATACGAAAATTCACATACAAATAAAAATAATAAATGTAACAAATTTAAATATATTATCCGCGCGTAATCAAGTTCGTTAGTGATAATGGACTAATAATCAAGATGTCCTACGAGCAGAACTCTACAGTAATGTCCTTGATGTTGTGTGTAGGGGGCACACCGTAGGCTTGTGTACTTTGCAAAGACAGGTTACTCCTCCTTACACTTTAGTTCTTTCCTTACTTTGGTGTAGCTTAGAAGTCAGATCATCTCCTGGACTATTCTGTTATGCTAAGAAGTTAGTACCACATTCTATGTATGTTGTTGTCTTATGATGTTGTAACTCTGTTTTTTTTTCTTAATCAGAGAGGAAGCTAGGGAACTTGAGTTACAAGCAAAAAGCAAAACTCATATCTCCGAGACACAGATTCCTAAAGATATTAAAAAGTATGTCTCTGAACATATGCATTGAGTATATCACTCATTGTCATTATCACTCACCCACTAAGTATTTAATTTCAAATGATTTGTCTTTCAAACTTACATGTTAAATTTGATTTCCCTAAAATTTGATTTTTTACAAGTATTATAAATGAACTGTTTTATTGATTAATATGCTAAGTTACATGGCATGTTAGAAACATGTGTAAGAAATGCAAATTTTACCATTTTATTTTTACTTATTCATGATTATTGATCATGTCGATTATTATTCATATCTCAATAACAAAATATTAGTCAAAATTAATAAAATTCATTTTATATTATTAAATAAAGAATATTTCAAATAATTTTTTTGTCAAATATTTATTGCGATATTTGAAATTTGAATTATGTTTTAGTATATACATATCCCCCAATAAAAAATAACAATCATACGCGAAGAATTTTGCCAATATATAAAACACATTTGAACACTATACACATACATTGCATGTTTTATTTCATATGACTAAAGAGTATGATAAAAATATTCATAATAGTTTATATACGTCAAATAACCCATGCAATATTTAAAAAGTGTAATATATTCTTTAACAATATAAATACAGTTATACAAAATTTATATATTTTTATTAGTAGCTAATTAAAATAATGGTTCTATTTGACAGTATATGATTTTCAAACATAATGTCCTTAGAGTCAGCTGACGCTGCAGATCCAAAGGATTGTCGACAATGGCTGATGTAGACGAGTTGCTCAAGTGCGAACCCTTTTTCAGATTTTTGGAAGATCCATTTAATTTTGTTTGTTTGTCTCAGAGGTTTATCAAAGTTAGATACTTATGTGAAACTGTTTGTTGCAGCAGCCATCGGCTGATTATTGTTTTTCTCGGTAGCATAATCTGTACTTTTAACCCAAATTCCTGTTCACTTACAATGATATTAGAATAAATATATGTTCCTAAAATCAATCATTTAACTTACATAAAAGATCACACAAACATTAATGTTAACAATCCAAAATTGGACCTTAAAAAATTTAATAGACCTATGACATCAAAGATATAATTATTCAAATTCACGTCTTCTGCCTTTGTTTGCCCAAAAGTTGTTTCAGATTACTAAAAACAAAACTATATTTTTAACACAAAAAATTTACATAAAAAGTTTTGTGCTTTTTAGGTTTATCTTCGGTACACAAATTCTCATATCTTGTGCTACTATGATAAATAATTGAGAAATTACTTAGAATGACTCTAATTAATCATGAAATGACTAGAATAACTCATATAATTTTGAAATAACTAGAATAACTCTTGAAATAAGCAAATTGACGATTTTGCCATTACTAATAATTATACTATAATTTAAAAAAAGAAATATACTTTAATTTTAAGTAATAAAATAGGCAAATATTTTATTTCTGTAGGGTTTCTCCGCCGAACGAAACAGCCTCCTCCACGTCTCCTTCACCTCTAATTTCCAGTTTTTTTCCCATCAAAACCGGCTTCGTATCCATCACCCCAACTGTAACTCGACTTTGTATCTTATATGCTCCACTTGCACTCACCTTTGTCTCTGTGTTTCACCTCACTCACTTTCGGCTTCAATTGCAACTTACTCTAACCTGTGTGTCTTTAATCTGTATTATTCGAGTTGTTGTTATTGTAGATTAGTTGATTGCAGGTAGAAATTTGGAACCCTTATTCTCAGTTTCGTCTAACCTTCAACTTTAAATCTGTTGAACATAGGTTTGGTTCCGAATGAGAATTGATTTTTTTTTTTGTGTAGGAGAATTTCTGAGTTAAAGGAGAATGAGAGACGATGGACGTTAGAAGATATTTCTTGAATCTGGTTGGACCAAAGGTTTCAGCTTGAGAAGACAATGAAAGATTCTTCCTGGTGGTGGAGCTGATGAAAGCAAAATAGGCGTTGAACAAGTCAGGTGAACAAGTTGGCGGCCAAGATCTATGAAGAGGTGGCACAGGTTGATGAGGAAGGATGATTTAATGGTTCATGTCATTTGGATTGTGATATTTTAAGTAATTTTACTACTGTAACTTGGATGCTTTTATTTTAGTACTTGTAGTAGTACGTATAGCTTGATGGATGGATGGATGATTTTATTTTGTTTCACATGTTTTGTGCTTTGGTCGATTATAATTCAACGTGTATGTAGTTTTGTTTCACTCTTTTCATTATACCAACAATTCTGAAGTGGGCAATCAACATGTAAAGAAGAAACTCCAGTAACTTGTGACTGGTGCATGTCTATTGCTTGAACCTTTAGTAGATTCACAATAGGTATCCGGCCCTGCGAATATTAATGCTTAGTATAACAGCAAATAATTAAGGAATACGTAACTTGTGACTGGTGCATGTCTATTGCTTGAACTTTTAGTAGATCACCTTCTTTATCCATATCTTCTTATTCTTCACCCAACGAGTCATCTTTCTGTATGGGTTGCAGAGACCCAAAAATATATGAAACTGCCTATCGTTTCCTATCTTGACAGGTGCATCCATGCTTTGACTGTGAGCATTTTGCTTCGGAAATAGATACCTCGGTTCCAAGTAGTTTTGTGCAAAATCAACTCTGTAATCCTCAAATATGGCTTTCACAAAATCTTCAAATTTAGTCTCTTCATTCACAGCAACTAATATGCTACCTCTCTCATTATCTACTTTAAAGGACCACTTAGTTTTCTCAACTTTCCAGTTTCCAGAGATGAGAATTATGTGATTCATATCTCCAATCAATATGAATTATAAGCTTCTGTCGTTAATCACCATGAAACTGTCTCACGTATTCTTGTGTGAGAGGGAATAGGAAGAAGACGACAAAAAAATGGGAAGCCCTAATTGTTTAAAAATTGTTAAACCGAAAATTAATTTGATTTAAACCAAATTTAAAAATTAATTAAAACCAAAATTAATCTAAACCGGAACCAGTACAAAATAAACCAAAATATATGAGAAATTAACCAAAAATTCGTGTGGTTATGTCTGGTATAATTAATGTGGCCTAATCTAGTAATTATATTTAATCAACAAGTCTGCTGTCAAAGACAGAAATTCAAAAAGTCTGCCACTAAATGAATACAAAAAATCGATTAAAAAACTAAATCGGCTAAACAAATCTTCCTCTAATTTTAAATGGGTCTTCAAAATGTAACTGATCCAAAATAAACCTCGAAATTTTTAAAACTCGGTTACATATGCGACAGATTAATATATATAAATCGGTCGACAACCATAAATCGGTCAAATAAATCAGCCACCTCAAAAATATCTGCCGTAATTCTAAAGTCTGCCATCAAGTATTTGGTAGATTTAAATTTAACAACAGTTTAAATTAGCAGATTTATATATCGACAGATTTATTTTTCCGTATACAAATCTGTCGACGTCGATTTTTTCAAAAATTCCAATGGCCCTTTCGTAATATTACCTTTTCTTCACAACTGTAAGAAAGGGTAGTTTCGACATTAAAAAAAAGTTAGTGATTTTAAAAAGTTATGAGTTATTCTAGTAATTAGTAGACTAATTTGAGTCATTTAAGTAAACTTCCCTAAATAATTTGACCATGAAAAATTGAAATGACCAAGAATGGAGGTGGGTAATGAGAGATTCAGAGAATCAAACCTCAAACATTGCTTTTAACTGAAAAAGATTTAGTGTTTTCAAATATTTTTAACATATATTACCGATAAATCTCATGTTAAGTGTAGTTTCTTCATCTGTTTTTGATAAGAGCATCTATATCTGGACAAAAGTAAGAAAAACACATTAGCTAATCAAGCTAAATATGAAAGAGTCGCGGAATATCTTATTAATTAAACCACTCAAAAGAATAAAAATTCATGATGGTTATTTTTGTTGTCTATTATCTAAACTTAGACAATTTAATATAAACTAAAGTTGATTAAAGATTATGGTGATAGTAAATTTAAAATATAAATAATATACTATCAAATATACATTTGCAAAAGATAATAAGATTCATGCATATACAAAAAAAATATACATTTATTGTTAGTATTTATTAAATACAAATCAAAACTAAAAATTATGAGATATTGAAATGTAATACTAAAATTAATTACAATACTATACTACAGTTTTCTTTGTACCGCACAATCCATATAATATTTAAAAGGTGCAATTTATATTTTATAAATGATACCAATGATGACAAAAAGATCATATCACTATATTTTAACACAATTTATACGATTCAGAAAATAAATAATGATATATCAATAAAAGTTAGAATAAAGTATATTATTTCTAAAAATAAGTTAATAGTCAAAAACCCGGGCGTAGCCTGGGAAAAATCTCTAGTTAAGGTAGAGAGAGGAGTTGTAAATATTTAATTGTGTCAAGGGGTATTTCAACTTCAATAAGATAGATATTAATTCCATCACGGATTTAAATTATTTTATTTATATCTTTTAATTATGGTGTAGTTTATAATTATACTCTTATTCAGTCTTTTAATTATGGTAATAATTATATAGTTAATATTTATATTTTAATATATTTACTTTAGTTTTGTGTAATAAATGTGTTAAATCATGTCACACTTAGGTAGGATCCATGTCATCAATTAAGTGAGTTATGTCATCATTTTTGTGCTAAAATGATTGGGGTGATGACATGCAAACAAGTTATTTGGTAAATAATATCTAGGAGATATCATTGACTTCAGACTATTGGTTCCATGTTTTTCTCCCATTGGTGACTATTAATCAACAAAACCATGTAAAATAAAATGACAGGATTAATAAATAAAAATCTATTAGCTACATAGTTTTTGCCTTGCAGATTTTGAGGGTTTATGTAGTCTTTTATAATTTTAAATTTTACAGAATTTATCAAAGACAAAGTTGTTTGATAAATTAATGGTTGAATAACAGCTTTGATAGTCAATATTTATAAAGAAAATATTTAGGTTCATGTAATATTTTGGGAAATTGCCAAAAATACCATATTCCTAATACCACTTTTTGATGTTTATTTTAACCACTTTTATCTTCAGTATTAAAAAGATATAAACACATTTACAACACTAAAGTTAACTAATCTGGATTTAGGGTTTAGGATTGGGTAGTGTTTTGGAACATGGAGTTTAGCATTCTACTAAACATTTAAAAATATACTTAATTTTTTTCAAAAAAACATTAAAATAGTTTCAAAAAGAATTTTTGAGTTTAACTAGATTTTAAAGTAGAAAATTTAAAAATAGTTTCAAAAAGACTTTTCAGATGACTGCAGATGATTATTCATTCGCTTTTCACGTTCCGTGAATAGCCGGGGCATTGAGGAATATCCAGAAAGGGATTTACGGAATCGGTCTGATTCTATCTCTCTTCTTAATTATAAGTCTTCTACTAAGTCGTCCAGCTGGAAAATTTTCCAGACGACTTAATTATAAATCTTTTCTTTTCTATCTTTCTTAATCCGTCAAATATCTAAGTTCGTATCTTCTATTTACTGCAGCTTTGTTCAGAAGGACATTGGTGAAATGTTTCCACAATGGGACTCTGATGTTGAGGACCCGGACGCGGAGAACATAATTAAAGTCATGTATAATCAAAGACCGTGGAAGTGGACCATGGATTTCTGGAAAGTCACTGGTACTTGGGTCAATACAAAACCGACAGTTGTGAGTCCAGCGAAGAAAGAGATAGTTGTGGTGAAGGAAGATAAAGACAATCCAAGACCTCGGAAGAAAGCTCGTAAAGAGGCTAGTGAAGAGACACCTGCAAAGGCACATGAAGAGGCTAGTGAAGAGGTTCTTAAAAAGGCTCATCCAGAGGTGACTACGACTGTTGGTGGGATGACAAAAGAGGATAATAAAAGAATGTTGAAGGATTCTTTCAAGGACGTACTTGATGCAATGAGTGAAGGGTTTGAGACATACCTTAAGGAGATCAAGCATCTGTCGGAAAGGGTGGATGGTATCACCAAAAAAAAGAAAGGGACATCATCTCAAAACACTACCGCTCAACTTAAAACGCACGAAACTGGGGTTAGTAATGAATCCTCTCCCAACAAGAAATTGACTAGACAAAGTCTTAAGAATATGAACTGAAAGTTGGATTTGCTTTGTATATAGTGTGTTTGTTTTGTTTTTATTTATGGATTTTGTTTCATGTCTGAAATGGATCGTTGGTTATTATTGTTTGAAATGGATCTTTGTTTGTAGTGTGCTTGTTTTGTTTTGATTAATTTTGTATAAACCCATCTTGTAAATTGCAGAGTGAAAGTGGTAATGGGGAGAACGTGGGAAGGAAGAGCTTGCCGGAGGATAAAGCTCTAGATGTGTTCGCAGATGCTAGTTCCTCTAAAGAGATGAGTCAAGTTCCGAGCTTTTCTGAGGATAAACCTCCAGAACCAAGCCTTTAACTATTGCACAAACAAGCACCCACTGTTTCTGATTTACAGCAGGAGGACTCTAGATATCAGGAAAAGAACCGAGCCTTGTTGCTTCACAGCAATCTCCTTATACAACAAACAACACTGTCAAAGTGATCATTTTAAACAGCACGGCCAAAGAGATCATTCCAAACAGCACGACCAAAGTGATCATTCTTTGTAGACAACTTACCAATAAGTCGTCTAAGTGAAAGATCTACTAGATGACTAACTGATAATTCTTCTTTGTAGACGACTTACAAGTAAGTCGTCTGGTAAGTCTTCTACGTAGAAGACATACTAGACGGCTTAACAGTAAGTCGTCTTGTATCTTATGACTTGTATTATTTTAAATGCAGCATATTGACGATTGCATTAATGTGCTGAGGAAGAGGTACAATGCTAAGCCAAAACATTTCAGGAGCGAGAGAATGTGCTTCCTTGATCATCTCTTTTCTCAGCAATGGAGATTCAACTAAAAGGATTTTAAGGACTCGGAGCCCGATCACAACAGTTTAGGAAAAAGACTCCCTGGTGGAGTGTGGAATTATTATTCAGGCGCTATACCATCATTTTGCCAATCGGACAAGTTTTGGAGGGGGGATATTGATGATATCTATGCGCCAGTGAACTACAACGACACTCATTGGATTGCTATGTGGATATCGATCCATAAGATGCACATAAACGTCTCAGACAGCATTTGTTCCTCTATCTCCCAAGAAGAACTCGATGTGATAATGGAGCCCTTTCTCTACATGGTAACTTATCTGCTTGTTGACTTCGCTTCCTCTGATGAAAAACGTGCCCAAAACACCCTGGAGCCATTCACATATGAGAGAACGACCAATATACCTCAGGCCCGATCTGGTGATTGTGGCATGTACGCTCTAAAGTACATTGAATGTCATGTTCTTGGGATGCCATTTAATCAAAAAGAATTTGCTAAGGAAACATGAAGACTATGAGGGATAAGATGGCTGTGGATATATTTAAAGAGCTTCTTGGCCAGCACGAGAAAGAAAACATGGAAAATGATGAGAACATGGGTGCTTATGAGGGGTGATAAACAGGCTACGTTAGATTATTTTGTATGATAGATTAGGCTGATGTTTGTATTTGAACTTGATGTGCTGATGTATGATAGATTAGGCTATTATTTTGTATGATAGATTAGGCTGATGTTTGTATTTTGTATAATTGATTAGGTCAGGATAGGATGAAGTTTTTTTGTAACCTATCTTCTGCACAGAAGACTTCGCAGAAGACTTACAATTAAATCGTGTGGAATGTTGGACGACTTAACTATAAGTCGGAAGGAAAGTATT